TGTTTCCCTTTTTTATTCAAACAGTATTACATGCCGCATGTGTGTCTCGTCGTGTGCCATCACTATAGGAGATTAGAGCATACTAAACTTTACACATTATATAGGCTACACTAACGTGACGTTTAGGCGGTTCATTTAACTATTATACGTGATGTACGTTTTTTTTTTGGGGGGTTGATCTTTCTTTATCTTCATGGAACAAGGTTTTTCTTGCTTCGAGATGGCAGTTTGTAATGAAACGTTGTGGAAAATGTAGTTCTTTGTAAATAGAAAATATATTTTTAATTTCATGTTCAAGCGTTGTCGGGTGGCATATTCTATATGCTCTAAGAAAAAATGAAGAAATAATAAATGTTTTGACCTGTTTATGGTGACATGAAAAGAAGTGAACATAACTTAAAGAATTTGTCGGTTTACGATATACTGAGAGGACTGGTTCTGTGTTTTTTCTGGTTATCAAAACATCCACGAAAGGAAGTTGTTCATTCTTTTCCCATTCAACTTTAAATTTGATAGTTGGGTGAAGTTGGTTAAGGTTGTTGAAAATCACTTCTTTTGTTTGGCCACACAGAAAATATATCATCAACATATCGGAACCACGGAATTTTTGAAAGGTTTATATTGATGCAAGGAACTAATTCGGTTTCAAAATATTCCATGAGAAGATTGCACAGTATTGGTGACAGTGGATTTCCCATGGCCATTCCGCATTTTTACTGACCAAGACAGGTAAATATATTGTTGTTTACACATATTTCGATAAAAGTGTCAACAGGAACAGGCACAAGGTAATTTTCTTTTAAGAAATTCTATGGTTTCTTCAACTGGTACGTTGCTAAATAAACTTCAACGTCAAAACTTAACATTTTTTCCTTTACTTAGATCAGTGTTTTTAATTGTGTTCGCAAAATCTACACTTTTGGATGTGCGATGATGAAATTTTTCCAACAACTGGGGATAGATGTCCTGCTAACCATTTAGATAATGGGTATGTGACAAAAACAACGTTAGAAATTATAGGTCTCAGGGGACAACCTTATTTATGTGTTTTAGGCAAACCGTACATGTAAAGTAAGGAAGGATTAAAAAATCTGGGTAATCAACAAGAATTGTACGTAGTTATCAGTTAAAAGTCAGACACCTTCTTAGATAAGGGGTTGGAGCTTAATTTTTGATAAACATACCCGTCCACAAGAAGTTCTAAAATCTTTAGATATTGACACTTTATTTGTCGAATTATATAAAAATATATTTTATAAGCAGGGCCATTACCAGGAATTTCAAAAGAGAGTGCATTGGATCCTGGGACCATCTACCGGAAAAAATTGTAAAAAAAGAGTGAAATAACAAATATTCGAGTACTTTCTTTAAATACAATTAACCTGTTTTGTTTTTTCCACAAACAAAATAAACATTTAAAATTCAGCTAGAAGAGCTGATGTCAGAAACTAACTAAATATATTGCAATAAGGATCGAAAAAGCTGTACGAAACATTTTAATACTTCCTGGCTACAGGTGTGATATATATATATATATGTATACGACTTTAGTTTTACACACTGCATGATAAACTCCGGAGATTAGTTGTTAAGCACAAAGCTACACAATTAGCTATCTGTGATCTGCCCACCACGGACAACGAAACCTGATTTTTAGCGTTATAACTTATAAGCCCTTAGCGCTAATACACCCGGGGAAAGTACTAACATAATTTTGACAGCACCTATACAGTCATAAAACCGTTATAGATTAAGAAGGAAAATCAACTCTTACACAATATGTTCCTTCTACTAGGAAAAGTTTTCATTGCTTGTATCCACACGCACAATTCTGATTTTATTTTACTGTAACATGAATGCACGACAAAACAAGTTGACGCTATATATATATATATTTATTACCCCAACAGCGTTTCATTACGGTTTTCTAAATTTTCATTTTATGTTATAAAATTCATTTACACTGCAGAAGTTTCCCCATATCCCCCCTTACTTCGTCCATTTCGGGTTCAAAATCAGAGGCATGTCATTTTATTCCTATTGGTTTCTAATGCTTCGCCAACTTTCGGCGTTTAAATCGTAATATATCATTCGCATTTAACACATATTAGAACAAATATACATTACAGTCTTACCATTTACATCATATTACATCAATAAGTTAAAAAAGAAAAAGATATCTGAAAGTTTTATTAATATGTGTTAACTTTTCAATAATTTATTGTCTCCTAAAGATTAAAATAACTTCACCATCATCTTTAATTAATAACGAACAATTTAAAAATATTGTTGTAAATAACGCATAAAAGTACTATTTGTAGTTGGTAGGGTGTGAACTTCCGCTATGGGCACAGTTAGTGTCATGTAAAACAACAAAACTAGAATATATATGTGTGCAAACACGAATAACTTACAGTATTGATAATTGTTCTACCCATCTATAATATATAAGTCTGTGCATATACACACACAATAATATTAATAGTAATTTTGTACAAATGGTATAATCTTACATTGTTATATTAGAATTTTGTTGGCGCGTTCACTTACTTGTTGGCACGTACATCTACATATGCAATAAATAAAATGTAGGTTATATTATACATCCTTAATATTAATCTGAAAGCACCAAAAAACAAGGTAAAAAAGATAGGCTTATAAGTTATACAAAAAATAAAATAAATAAAGTTATTCAAAACGTTACACAACAGTAACGATTGTAAAGTTGTATAAGAAATCATGAAACAGAAATGACGTCTTTAGTCTTTGATATTTCATTTTCAGCACAAATAGGCTCCTTTCTAATTATTTTCCTCTGACTTCCTGGTTCATTTTACATTTAATTTTAATAAAAATATTTTTTTCAGTGTAATATACAGTATCCTATTATTGTATTAAACACTTCGATTCGGTATCGTTCTGTTAATGTTAGGCTTACCATTAACTAACTAAACCTTACCTGTATTCACATATAACAAGCCGAGACAATAAAACAACACCCACTTCGCAGCCATTATTTCTTTCACGACACTTTGATTATTTGAAGAATTTAACAAACTTAAACGCTATAGAAAATTCTATTTTCCACAACCAAGTAAGTTTTATTAACGACCAAAAAAGTTGGTCAGTGCAATTGTCCCGGGACAGCGCCCTTTTCAGAAGAAAATATTATATAGCTTCGAACACGAGTCGTGAAAGGCTTCTCTGTAAGTTGGCGTTTTGACTCAATGGTGGTAGTTGTCCATTAACCAATCATCGTTTAGATGCAACGGCGACAGGTGAAAGAGATTCAGGTATGAGTACGGACAAGACTATTATAGGCAGGGGAGAATAGAAGAAACGATGGGCTTATTTACATTCATACAATGTTATTATTCAGCAGTAATATTCTTTTAAACCATTGTATAATACGTAGCATTCTATTTTGCCGCTGCCAAGTATAATATATGTTGATTCACTAATCATACTTTCTCACATTCCCCTTTTCTGTGAAAGTTACATACTTAACTTTTATATCTGTACATATAGCAAAAAAGGGAGAAGGGTTATATGTTTGTGTATTTTATAGCACGTATCAAATAGAATAAACTTGTTCCATATACAAATAGGCTTATAAGTAGATATATACCTTAAATATTTGTAAACATAGCAAACATTCCCCAGTCTATGTGTTTATATTTACCAAAAACATTTGTAGGTAAGCAAAATTAAATATGCACTGACAAAGATTTTGAGATTGAAAAAACGTTATCAGCTTGTTTTACGCGAGTAAAGTTTTTACGAAGGTGCTCGTTTGTTCAAAGGGCTATTGTGCTCTTCCCACCACGGGTATCGAAACTCGGTTTCTAGCATTGTAAGTCCGCAGACATTCCGCTGTGTCACTGGAGGGCAACGAAGATGCATTTTTAGCATGCTGGAAATTATATTATATTATATAATGGCACGACAAAGATCAATCATTATTGTACGTTTAAAAAATCAAAAGCTAAGTTTCTCTGAAAAAAAGTACGATAAGTGTATTTATTTGCTTTATAGAAGTTATATTCTTAATGATAAATCAGTTCATTGGTTGTTTGTTTGTTTTCTCAAGAGGAGTTACCATTTTTTATATATATATGTTTTGATATATACTGATATATCGGTGCATCTTCACTTAATTTAGTGTTAAGCCTAAGAAAAGTGATAAAATCACGCTACACTGCAAAGTCCTCCCCACACACGCCAGTAGTTCATAGCGATTAGAAACAACTAAAATATAGAGTTGAAATGCAATTTTTACTCTTCCCCGATTTGAAACCCATAAAAAACTAATAAGAGAAATGTGAAGAAAAACCTATGAGTCTAAAGCGTCATTTCATCACTTTTCTTAGGCTTAAACAAGCTTCGTTGCCTCGCCACTTAACCGTTTTACATTGTTGAATCGTTTTAATTTTTACTGGAAGTCATACAAATAGAATCTAGATAAACCATCTTTTATATTTATCTACGTAGTTCATGTCTTTTACTGAATATGTTTGGCTAAACATGATACTGGTTACACCTATCATACACACTGATATTCTGATAAGCAAAATATCAGGTCGTCAAGAAATTAATGCTGCGTTTTGGAACACTTTCATTAATCACCCCCCAATGATAATGTGAAACCACTTTATATTGGCTACAACATTAACATGAACCCCTTAATATAATATTAACGAAGAGTAACTTTAAAATCATATACAAATATCCGAACACAATTAAAAAAATAACCTAACTTCAAACAGAAAAACACTTTAAGAGAAAAAAACAAGGCGTTTATATTATACCATGCCAATCCTGTGAGAAAGGTTATATAGGTGAAACCGGAAGAAGTGTTGACATGAGAGTTTCTGAATATATATAAAAAAAAGACATAAATTGTAGAAACCAAAATAATGAGAGTTTCTGAACATAAAAAAAAGACATAAAATATGGAAACCAAAAGAATGCCATTTTTCTTCAAATGAGAGATTCTAGCCATCAAATTGATTGGAAATGAACAAGAATTTTATATGAAATAGATAACTACATAAAAAGAAGAATCATCAAAAGTTGCTCCCAAGGTCACTTTAAACTTAAGATCTTCCTGACCTCATGTGTCCTTAAGGGAATTCCAAGATCAGGGGTCATGTAGGCATTTGTTTCTCTGATATCAGACTTCTGAAAGTTTGTTTCGTTTACTGTGGTTTTGTCACTAGAATGAGTACCTGTTTCATTCCATAGCTGTTTGAGGTATGCATCAATTGAATGAGAGGTATGATTGAAATTTTTATGTTGGTGAACCAGTACCCTTGGCCACATTTCTAGATAGAGATCCTTATTGATTATGTTCCATACTGTTGACTGGAACGTGTAGATGGCTTTTGTCACTGGTCATTGTGTTTATGGATTTTCTCTAGTTGCAAGACATTGCACTTTACTTATCACAGCTGGAATACGATGTGTTGCAGGTTTTCTTCTGGGTGGTTCTTGCACCCAAAGTTGAACTATATTCCTTTGCTTTCCAATAACATTAAGTAAAAGGACTATCACATTTTTGAAATTTTGAATTCCCAATCTGAACACATCTATATGATCTGAGTGTTTGAATATTTTACATCAGTAAGGGCTGTTAGATACTCTTCCCAAAAGCAATAAATATTTGATGGAATCACATTTTTTACAAAATGCAAAATAATGTCAAAATGTAGTTCAAATACATTCCATTTCACCATGATTGTATGTTGGCTGTGTTTTATGTGATTTTCCTATTTGCATATTCAATATTATTTAATTTAACATACCCTTCTTTTTACAGTGGACTCATACTATTACACAAATACACTTAAAGTATAAAAAATATATTGTTTGATTATACTCACTAATACTTTGAAAACTTAGTTTGAACTGACAAAATTTTTCAAACGTTTTTACCTTTATTCCAAAGAACATTTGTTGTAGCAACTATATTTGTTCCCTGTTTTTTTGGTCGTTCAATTGCTTATGCTTTTGTATATAGTTCCTTTTTTAAATAAATATATTTTTGATGTTACAATATTAAGTTGATCAGGTTGTAAAGTCATTGAAAAGTACTGTATATAAAATACTACGTTAAATTGGATTATATGTTTTTTATTTAACTTAGCAACAATTAATGAAATATGCCCTATATTTCCATAACCATAGCTTTTTTGTCTTTGTTATGTGCTGCTAGCTTCTCATTTGTTGTACTGCCCAATGTCTGGCTTATCCACCAGCCACATCGTGCTTCATTACCATCAGTAGACTTCCTTCAGGTCAGTTTGTGTATTCTAGTTTCACTTTTAAAGAACTGTAAGTCAAATAGCTTTTAACCACATTTTCTTGTAATGTTGCATGCTATTTTTAACTTTTGTGTGTCATACCTTTAATCACTTAGTTACATTAATCACAGGCCTCCCACTGAACTTACAAAATATATTAAATTCTACATTTTTGAAAGTGGCCCAGCTTTTGTGTGCAAATGACCTATAAAACCTCTATTTTTCAACCAAAAACACAAGTTTGTATTTTCTCTAAAATATGTTTTTCTTTGAAAAACATAAGGAAGTATTTTGGTTCCAATGAAATTTTGATTTTATGAATGAATCAGGTTGGAAAATTGATTGTTTGTTTGCAAAATAAATTATAAACCTATGTATGTCTGGTCAATGAGTCTATAAAAACCTGTATTTTTGTGTTACATCCTATGTCACAGAAAATTGAATATGGTGCTTCAAAAAATGCCCAGTTAGACTTTATTATTTTTCATATTATTAAACCTTTTTTTGCTAATTTATTTCTTCAGTCATTCATGAATCTTGGTATGGAATGCTCATATAGAATTTAGAAGATTTACACTTCACCAGGTTAATCTGACTCACACATAACAATTGTTGTTCATGCAGTTTGGTTATATAAATAGCATCTTAGTCATTACTATATTTGTCGTATCCTAGCCAGAATGATAAGCTCTGAGATTAAGTGAAAGACATCAATGGCATTAGATATAGCAGATACAGGCTAATTAACATATTGTTATACATTATTCTCCACGATCACTCATATGTTGTTACTATTGCACACGTCACTATTACTGACACACGACTTGTTTAAACCTATATGTGTTATTGAAGAAATCTTGATGAGTACAAATTTGGTGTTTAAAATAATTTCAGGGTGATTATTGACAGATGAACAATTAAGTGGTGCATTTTTCATTGATATTATAGGGCTAGATACAGATGGTGGTTAGCATGCCTGGACTGTGAATCTGAGGGCTCACATCCCATTACACCAAAAAATACTTCACTCTTTGGGACCATGAGTACACTGTAAGAGCGACAGTTAGATCCCTTTATGCAATCAGACAAAAGTAGCCCCAGAGATGTGGTATATGCTTTTGCCTCCCTTCTTTCACTTTAGCCTGTCAGTTCAAAACCAGGGATGGCTTTGTGTCTTAATTATACTTTTTTTTTGTTGTTGTTAAATAGGTCATATGACTTATGTACTGGTTTACAGTACCTGCATGAGCATTTAAAAAAGATCTGCTGAGCAGAAAATATTGAAATCTTCATCACAAGGTGTCCTGTTACACATGTTATTGAAGTATAGGTAAATGCTGGAATGATTTCCTCTGTTTGGTTTGATATGTAACTATGGTCACTTTTTTTCATAAATGTGGTGTGTTTTACATATCAGTATTAGAAATAAATGACCTTATAACACCAAAATGTTGTTTTTGTTTAATTAGACACTCAACATTTCGCTTTACAGTTTCTTCAGGAGCATTCACTAAAGCACAAACTGTTGAACATTCCTGAAGAAGCTGTAAAGCCAAACGTTGAATGTCTAATTAAATAAAAACAACATTTTTGTGTTATAAGGTCATTTATTTCTAGTATTCAACTGTCTTCTATACACCACATGTTTTACATATGTTTTAATATACCTTTCCCAGGTAGCAAAACTGTAGGTTGATGTTCTCCCACTGCCTAGGATTTAATACCTGAACTAATTTCATACCATCTCTGGATACTGTTTTCCCTTATTCTGAATGAACTAATTATTGTGATTTTACCTTATAAAGACAAAGTTGCAAAATCTATAGATATTGTAGTAGCCACACCAATGGAAACAGTGGGTTTACCACATTTCTTACTTAATATGTAATTTGATTAAATAAATAAATGAAT